GCTATGATTCTATGATTTCTCCTCATTCACAAGGTTCCAGATTTAATGGCCAAGAAACATGTGTCATAGTAGAAATAACAAAGCAATTCCTATCCTGTTATCATCAATTCGAGGCTAAAGGCTGTCAAGCCCTTTGTTCTTTCAGCTTTCCCTGTCACTTTAAATACAGGTACAGTTCTAGCCATCACTCTAGTGCTTTTAAATAACTACAGCAAGACTTGGCTTTTAAATGAGGCGGGGGGGGGGGGAATAATCATCCCTACGTTGTTTGGTATTTTCAACAGTTAATGTATTCCAAAGACTCCCTGCACAGTTACTTGGATTATATGTTAAGAAACCAAGTATTTAAAAGTCACTAGGCAAATAAAGCCTGTAGATGGAAGAGTGAAAGCCTATTTCACTGGCTCCCTGGGGCCTCAATTACACAGGGCAAACCTGACTTTTTTCTCCTCCTTTGTATGTTCTTGATTAATTTCCTTCAGACATTCTTAAATTGAAAGACTAAAAATCAATAATGCAATTACTTCCAGACATCTCATGTATAATCCAGCAGCCTTGCTGGACAAACACAAAACTAAAAATATATTCCTGCCACCTTAGGCACATCAATGATAAAAATCAGGAGGAGACAGGGTGCAGCACTGTGCTTTGAGATGTTCTAGTACAACATGAGAAACAATTTATGGATTTTTTTTTTGTGCAGTTATATTTAAAGAATAGTAAGAAAAAATAATCAAGGAATTGATGTGTTTTCTTTGTTGGCAAATACCTGGTACAGCCATTTCCACTGGAACGGAACAGCAATCTTTATGAGAATTGCAATGATCTGTGTGAAGTAAATGTAACACACAATCTGGGAAGGAAAAGGAGAAAGCATGATGAGAATAGCACCATCCTTATAGAACCTCTTTTTCCAGAGAAATAGCTCAAGCAATTCCCAGACAACTCATCATATCAGATTAGCCTTATTATGCTCCTTGATAAACATGGAAGATACAGACTGAGGGCTCTAATGCTTGTTGAACGTACAAATGACTCAAGCTACTGCTAACATATTTAAGTTACAGAAGGAAAATACTTTAAGTGTTAGAGTTCTGTAGAACTCCAAGAACCACAATTATAATTTATTACTCTTATCACTTAAAGTCTGAAATGAGGCCATTGGAAACCATTAAGGCAGCTATGCTCTCTTGGGAGGTATGCTCATGGCTCCCACTGACTTAATCAGAAACAGCATACATGCATCTCAAGGCACCATTTGGTCCCAAGTTTAATTTTTAGCAAGTTTACAGTACGTTATACAAGCCCATCAATTCAACTGGCAGCTCAAGCTGTCTCCAGAGGAAATTAGTAAGCGTTACAAATAGCTGGAACCAATTTAAAGATAGACAGAAGAACGCAACCACTAGGAAAAGAAGGGAAGCTGCTTTGAGGATTGTAACCCAGTTGAGCAAGATGCCAGAGTACAGCACTGCCACAGAACTAGGAACATCTTCACCACATCCACCAGCTATAGTAGCTTCCAACAAGTAAACCACAAAAGGCTTGAATGACTTCTAAGCGCTCTGCATGCATGCATTCATGTGTTTTACTCACCATAACATAGTAATGTCTGAAAAGCTTCAGCTTTGCTAGGTTAATGGCAGCTATCAAGAGAACACAAAAGTCCATCAGAAAAGTGTTAAAGTGAGACAGTTTCTTTTGATGCTTGCCTACAGAGCAGACAAGTGATCAAAACTAGGCTCAGGTAATACCAGACTAGAAGGGTTTGTCCCACCGCCCATTGGGCGCTGTGAGGAGTGCCAGTCTGACTTGTCTACATACTGGACGACTCCTAGGCTAGGGAGAATTATCTTAAAAAGGCAACTCCGTGAGATCACTTTTAGACTAAACTTCATATGCACGCACTCTGCAATATAGAGCCTTACTTTAATACTTACCTGTATGTAGCCAACTACGTACTGTCACCTCACTCCTGCTATACAGGTCACGTCACTTACGTTGCTTCCTAGAAAGTCCACGTCTTTTCTTGATTACTCCTGACCTGCTCTGTGTCTTCAGCTGACCTAATCAACTTTGAGGTAACCACAGCTGTGGGAACCACTGCATCTTGTTGAACCGCAGCAGGAATATTTTAACATCTACACAGTATCCTCTATCATTCATGGCTCAGTCACAACTTACAAGTGAAATGGCAATTCATACTAAATAGTTCTCACAGCAAATGCATGTGTTTCAGGTCACAAACTGTGTAAGCTAAGGCCCCAGGCTAACCTGCGTTATTGGACAGATTACATCAGCTCGAGGAACACAGCAGATATTCATGTGAACGAGCAGAGGTCAACAACAGATGTAACAGCTGTCAACTCTGGTTTGAGAGTCAGACTTTAGAGGTGCAACAGGATTACAAATACAGACCCCTGGTGCTTTTGTGACAGCAGGAGAGGCAAGAGTCCAAGATATGTTGACAGCCTACAGAGATGCAGTTTAGAGCCAATGAACACAAGATGCCAGTTAGAAAATACTGCCACATACTTACTAGTACTCCCTCCTTATATTTTTTTTACATCAGATATGGAAGTGCAACATATTGTGCTTAACATCACCTGCATTCCCTCACAGAAATCACCCACTGCAAAAAGCAGATTTATAAAAGGCTGCATGTATGTGCACATAAGGTCTTCCAGGTTCGCAACAGTGCAAAATAGAGTATTATACATCAGGAAGAGGAAGGCTAATACCTACCAAAAAAATGCTTCACTTGCGACAAAAAAGTGAAGCTTTTCTGATGGAAAGGTAGTGTCAAACACATCACTCAAAATAACTTGTTGTAGGTTCCCACTACATAAGTTACAGTGAAGACAGACAACATTCTGCTATATACCCACTTTGGGTAATCTAAAGAGTCACTTTTAAACTGACTTTCAGCGTTCCAGGAGAACCACTGAAAGCTATGGACACCTCGAGACAGATACAAACCCTCCACTAGCAGATGTACTGTAACAACACCACCTAATACAAGACATAAACCAACTGACAGGTAGATAAAACCAAGCTAAGAGTAGTTTTGATTTAGTGCTGACTAGTGGCTTCTACACATTTCCAAACGGTATGTTTAACTTTTGACAGAGCACAGGGCACATCAGTAAGAAAAAGCAGAGCCAGAGCTCAAGAGGAAAAAAGCAAGCCTTATTTGTGAGGGAACACCATGCAGCTAAACCTCATACTGTGCACTCGTCCAAACACCAGTTGGATTGGGCTGGCTTTGGGTAAGACTCTGCTTGTGGGGGCTATCTTACAGCACAGTATGTCAGAGGAACACTAGCTTTCAGGTTTGGGACGATGCTCCCTTCTGGACTGCAATATAAACACAGAACATAGAATAGCATCTACTTTGCAATATACAGTTCTGGAGTCACAAAGCAATGCCCAAACTCTAGACTTGCATCTGTGGAGTACCAGCAAGCTGGAGAGCACTTCACTAGGCAACAGATGGCAAGACTTGGAACTGCTAGAACAAGACTCTAAATCCTTGGTAGCTAAATCAGCCCAGAGACATTGGTTTAGCTACTTCTCCCTTATTTCCATCCCTCACAAAAGCTAGTTTCCCCACATATAAATAGCAAAAACTTATGGATTTTCATGGGTCTAGTGCTCTACCAGATAACCTAATGTTAAAAGCTTTTCATAATACAGTTGGAGAAGATTAAGCCGTGTAAATATACAGGACAAGCTCGTTAAATTGTGAAGCAGGGAAGCAACATTGTCCTATTTAAAGGACAGTTACATTAAGTGTGACCACAAAGATCTTGTGATTTACCACATACCGGTTTGTACACAGAAGGATCTATTTTGAACTCAATGCATTCATCTTCAAGAACTGCCACCAACTGGTGCAATGACAGGCCATGAGAATTTCCAGGCTTTGTAGCTAAAGGAACACCAACTCAACAGCTGTGATTCAAACTGCCGGTCCATCAATGCTTCACAGTCAACAACTGAGTGAGCTGGGGAGTCAGTTCTCTTGGATTCATGAATTGCATAGGAGGAAAGGATATGAAGCCAAAGATCTGGCTGCCAACTGAAGTGTCACAATGCCACCTCTCCTAACTGATGGAGCACGGCTCAAGATCTCACCTACTCATCATGATAATCAATACCAAAGTGTCATAAGTTGGTACATCCAGGTATCTAGAATGGCTGAGCATGGAAAAGAAGGGTGAAGGGAGGAAAAAAGACAACCACCACCAAATAAAAAGACTGAAGAGCCATCTCTGGAAGCTGGCTTGCTTATTTATCACAACTAGGTGCTCTCCTCTAGCTGCCTCAACTTCAGGAACACTTCCCGTCACTATCAGATACTAAAGTCAGTATTAATGCATGTCTATAAAATTCTGCTAGTTTTCTTTCTTTTTTTTTTTTTTTAAAAACTCAAAGCCACAGCACACACTGTTCTGGAGAAAGTCTAAAATGATCATTGCTTGGCATCAGCAGCCTGTGAATTACTTTTTCACAGGCTGAATGTTCTCCAAGCAGTAACACTTAAAGTGTCCAGCATAGCGAGACTTAAGACTTTGATTCACCTTAGCCTGGCAGTCCAGACACTGGAAGGAGAGAGACAAGGCCAGCAGCTGTCACAACTTGAATAACTTGCAGCCTCAACCTGTAAAGCTGTGATAACACAGCAATCACAGCATGCAGTAAAGGTTGGCTATCATACTTGAAACAAATTTACCCATTCTTCAAGGAACAGTACTTAACTGCAGAGTAGGGGGCAGGGGGGGAAGGAAAAAAAGTAGATACTTTCTACCAAAGGTTTTACAAATGAATTCATACTTGCGTTCCACCTCTTTCGCAGAGTAATTAAAAAGATAAAAGTTATCCTCCAAGAAAGGTTTATAACATCTATACCTTGCTTTCCTCAGTTTCCCCTCTCTATCACCATTTACTTTAAGAGTCTGTGCCTGCAATAGCCTGATCTGCATTGATCAAAACATAGCATACCACAGTACTTTGGTAAATCAGTCTCTTTTTCAGATTGCCCTCTGTGCTAATTTCAAATGCTGAGGCAGCCTATAGGATAGTAAAAAAAGAAAGTCAGACCATCTACTATAGCCTTGCACATCAGATGATAGCTTTTTGATGAATAAATCTGACCTTTTTAGAATACGTATGCAACAATAAGATGACTGCACCTGAGGGCGTAGGGAGCTCGAGTCCAGACAATACCGTATGTAAAGGCAAACCATAACGCATCTTGAGTGAACATGCTAAAGTACAGCTATGAGTATTTCTGCTATGCTACAGGTGCTATACTAACTCTGGTGCATTTGAGATGCAACCTGTGTACCATTGCCAAATGGTAAAGGGAAGTTTTCTGTTCTCCCCCTGCCCCAGGAATGCAGGTACACATGTAGATCTAGACCTCAAAAAGCAACTCCAGACTAACTCTAAGTATGGCTCTATAATCTCTACAGCAGCACTCCGCTTAAAAGCACTCGTGTAACAGAAAGGAGGGGTCAAGCAAACAGATACAGCAGCTCTGAGTGTCATGCCCGAGAAGGTGGCACAGACTAGTTACTCTTGAATATTCTAAAACCCATTAGCCATTTGGCACAAAAGTTTCCCACCAGGGTAAGAAGAATGTCCAAAGTACAGGATAAGCAACGTATCTCCAACACGTAATTGCTACATCAATCCTGGATAGCTATCTAGGGCGCCTGGAAGCAGTACACTGGAACATCATAGGCCTGTTTCATGTCTCTATTTGCATTTCTCAACATTTCCCAACTCTCCAGTGCTATCCATTGAGGTCTCAACACTGAAATCGCCAAGCTTCATCTCAAGATTTGAAATGCTCTTGTACTGCCTCGAGCACGTTTACCCCTGCGCTACCCCCTCCTCCTCAATGGAGAGCTGTGGAGGTGTTTTAACATGGGTCTCCATGGAGCCATCGCCTCCAGCGTCTGCTGAGCTCACCTAAGCAGAGGGTGTTCTGCACCACACAGGACCAGGCTCTTTGGTCACAGCGTTTTCATGGTACAGAAGCAGGAAGACACTGAATACAGCAAATGGTTTTTCCTGACATGGGGGCAAGCATGAAAGCATTAATCATCATTTGCCCACTGCACAACACACAGGGAATGTTGCCTGGGAGCTACACACTGCAATGTATTTCCCCTAATTCTGCAGCCAACTATGACATGCTGCAGTGCTTCAGGAAAATAGCTAACTGTTCGTGATCAGACTGCACTGAGTTTCACATCTCTCATCACACACACAAACGTACAAGCAGAACGAAAAACTGCAGTGGTGCTTCCAGCCCTCCATTCCTCCCTCAAACAGATGACATGATACACAAGAGTGGGTTATGACACTTGAGAGGTCCAGTGACCAAGAACTTTGAGTTTCAAAAAGGCAAAAGGCAGTTTTACTGCAACATACTCCCTCTCTTCCTTTTCTCATGATGCCATGTCCTGGTTTCAGCAGGGATACAGTTAATTTTTTTCCTAGCAGCTGGTACAGTGCTGTGTTTTGGATTTAGGATGAGAATAACATTGATAACACACTAGTATTTTAGTTGCTGACAAGCAATCAAGGACTTTTCAGCTTCTCATACTGCCCCACCAATGAGAAGGTGGGGGTGTCCAAGAAGCTGGGAGGGGGCACGGCCAGGACAGCTGCCCCAAACTGGCCAAAGGGATATTCCATACCATATGACATCATGCTCCATATATAACCGGGGGGTGGGCTGAGAGGTGGTGTGGCTCGGAAGCTGGGTTGGCGGAAGGTGGGGCAGCTTGGGGCCTAGCTGAGCATCAACTTCAGGTGGTGAGAAATTGTGCTGTGCATCACTTGTTATGTATATTCTTTTATCATTATCATCTTCCTTTTCGGTCATATTAAACTGTCTTTATCTCAACCCACAAGTTTTACTTTTTTTCCTTTATTATTCTCTCCCCCATCCTACTGGGGGAGAGTAAGTGGCTATGTGGTTGTTTTAGCTGCTGGCCAGATTAAATCATGACATGGTAGCAGTAGTCAAGCAGCTTTCCAGCCCAATTCCAGCTCAGTTTGCAAGACTGATTTCCTTAAATCTGCAAGATATTTGCAATGCAGATCTAGAAATGGACAGATATCACTGCTCCATCTGAAAGATAGTGACAGACCTAAGAGCTGCAGCTAGGCACTTGCTTAAGTCTAAAGGTGAGGGTTTTAAAAGGGGAAGAAAAAATCTTCTAAAAATGAGATGTTTACACCCACTGCTGTGCAAGATAAGAAGCCTGTGTAGGTCAGATATTTTGCTTTAAAGATCACCTTCAAGGGAAAAAAGCAAACAATCAGGCAGTTCAAACTCAGCTGTATTACTGTGCCATGCCTACTCTTCACTAGCAATCCACAATCCTGTGCACATAAGGTCTCCCTGGAAAATTACGGCTTTAGATCCATTCCTCTAGCTTTTCCACTTTAGAAAAATCTTAAAAATATATCAAATTTAAATGACCATCCAAATCTCTGCTACTTATAACAAGCCTTTTTAATAATTGTACATTGCTAACACAAAAGCCTATGGCAAGCACAGCTGTAAGACTAGAAGACTGGTACTCTGACCAGCTTTGGCTTCCTTTCTAATTTAGTCACACCGCAGTCATGGCTGTGCTTGACCCAAGGGAGTGCTATCTAATAAACAGGTTGTGAAGTAGCTGGAAGAGGACAAGAGAGGAAACACCACCAGGACACAGAGCCGTGAAGTCCTAGAGTTGTTAGTTCTAACAGATGCAAGGAAGCAAAAAATAATTTACCTTAGGTCTTCCTCACCAGCAAGAATGTCACCAGAAGACTCAGCACCAGGAAAAACAGCTATTGAATTTATAGTATATAATTCCCCAAGAAACACTATAAGTTAATGAAGTCTGCATGAGAGAACAGGGAAAGCAGCCTTTAAGGTAATACTAGACAATAAATCCTAGCAAGCAATAGGCAGTCCAACCAGAACTGTCTGCACAAGATTCAGACCGCTCTAACCACAGGACAGGCAGTGCAGCAGTTAAACTGCATATGAAAAGATCCAGTGGTTTTCACCACTTCAGGAGAAAACTATCTTCATCTGGGGAAAAAAAGCACTGGTGATTTTAAGGGTTAGCACTGGTCCTAATTTTTTTTTTTTATGAGAAGCTAAGACAGCATGCAGCACCACTACAGAACAGGGCTCCCAAGGGAAGCTTAGTGTTAAGAACATGGGCTTCTAGTCAAGACTATTTGTTGATAAGCCTAACATGAATGATTTTACCTTATTACAGTGCAACCAAATCACTTTTGGTTTTCTCAACCAGGCACACTAGCAGCATGACATCATTAGGTAACATTCTGCTTCTGGCATGACATTGCTATTCCCTTGCTCCCCATGGGCTCCTATCAACAGCCTCTAAATACTCTAACCGTGCTGTATTTCACAAGTGAGTCCCAGCACTGTGGCTGTCCTGGCCATAATCTACTGCCAGCCTACGCAGTGTTTCCCCTGAAAATTTTTTCCTTAGCTATTCTTTTATTATTACTGTGGGATAACACAGCTGCTAAGTCCCTCTCAACACACAGCTTGCAGGATCTGTACAACCAGATGGTAACATCAGTAGGTAAACTGTGCTAACAGTAGTAGGTGATCCACAAGCAACATTCATGATAAAAAGTGCCGTTACCGTGGAGAACAGCAAAACCAGGAGGACTAAGAACAGTCCTTAAGGGATATTGTGCCTAGCACTGACTAGCTATAAAGACACAACCAGCTCTCCTTGTATCACAATTTTCTTTCACCTCCATTAAACACTACAGCATATCCTTCAGAACTGCTTGGGTTTACTCAGATCTGGGATTCCACCCATTATGACAAACAGTGGACAGGTCCAGTCTTTATGCTGAACACCCTTGATGTTGGCCACCTTTTCTCCTTCACTCAATAGGTTTTGAAGTTAAGCAAACTCCATAGCACCATCTTGCGATAAGAACTATCAAGTGCAAGGTAGGCACGGGGTAATCACCTGAGGCCACACAGATCTAGAGGTTTCACATCTCAGTTATGTACACTAGCTACCCAGTGCTTGGTGTTGGAACAGTCACAGGCTCCACTGCCACCCTGCAGCTCTGCCTTAGCTACAGGAAAGCTGACCTCTATTTGCAGTCACACACAGTGGCTTTAGCTAAGAACCAGGCCTTACACATGCAAAGTTCTCAGTTCAGAAGGAAGAAACTGCTTCAAAGAGCAGTCTAAATTTAGGCAGACTTGGTAACAGTAAGAGCATAAATACTCCATAACGTATGCTCAGTGGACAAGGTAAAACAAATTCATCAGTGAATGTCACTGAACCCATGTGAACACACTAATAAGAAAGCTACCAATAACATTCACATTACATTATCAACACTAACCTCTTGTACATTGGTTTCTATTAGAAATTAATATTTTCCCCCTTTTAGGTTTGGGGTGGGGTTTTTTTGTGTGGATAGCTGGGGTTTTCGAGATTCAAAGTTGTTAAAAAACCCCCAACAAAACAATGCTGGGCTCACCTTCATTACTGTTTCATTTAACAGATAGCAAGAGAAGACCTAATCTGTGGTCTGCACAGAGCTGAGTTCAGTACCCAGCCTTACACTTCACCTACTAAGCCACAGAGGCAATCTGCACTGAAATACAAGTGCGTCCGTGGATGCCAGGAAACAACTGGAAGAAGTATCCAGACATAGGAGGCTATCTCCAGAAAGGAGAGACAAGAGTTAGGGGATAAGACTGAGTTGAAAGGATGCTGCCAACAAAGGACCTTCTACAAATAAAGATTTCAAGAAGAGTAAGCCATCAAATGCCAGAACATTGAAATGGCTGCCTGCTTCCAAGGAAGCCAGTGCTATGCTCGGTGGCTTGCATCTGTGGCCAACTAAGGAACTAATTCAGAAGAAATGAGTGGATGAGGCAGGAAAAACACATGCTACAGAAACCATATTTGGGCTGGCTTTCCATATATCATCTCTTTTTCACTGCTATAATAAACATAACTTGACTTTACACAAGCAGCCCTTTAAGCTGCTGTACAAACATGGACAAGTCAAGAGCCGTGTTACATTGAATGGCAATTTACGTTTTGTTTCATAATGAGGTCTGTTTCCCTCTATTCTGGCAGGAACAGATTTCTGCAGAAATTGAAATAACGGGGTCTATTTTGACTAACAGTCAGCAATTCTGGAATTTATTTCTAGTTCTGCTTCTGAACACTTGAGTGAGAAAAGGCAGCAAATCTGTCAAGATGATTTGCTCTAAGTGTCATGTGTAGCTGGAGCACCAAGAGCTGTGCAAGTATAAGAGAATGAGTTCCACATATGAGTTCTGATAGCCAAAGCAATACAGGAAAAAGGTTATTTTCCAAAAGTCATTCCCACAAGCCCACTGAGGAAAATCAGCAGTGCTATGATAACATAGCATATATTTACAGTTTTAGTTTACATATTTTAAATCAGCATCACATGTTTGAAATTCTAGCATTCTCTTATGGCATGTAGCATAAACCAGAAAAAAGTTACAGATTACTTGCCTTTCCCATCTGTTGCTGAAGCCTCCTGTAAATGTCTTATTGACCTGAAAAATAAAAATTAAAAAATAGATTAACTATCATTTTTGCACTCCCTTTTCACCGCAGCCCTCTAGAACACTAACAACTTTTGTTAGCTCTTTATGGTTGGGGTATGCTCATAATTAACTGTACTTAATGTGCTTGGTACTGCATAAAATTCACCCCCAGCTCAGGCAGTTAGTTCAAGTATCTGTATCTCCTTGTGATTAAGAAAGCCAATTGCCGAAGCCTCCCTTCAGCCTACGGAAAGCTTTGTGGGAGGGAGGGAGCAGAGTGAGAAACTAGGGCATTTTCCAGTGTAATGCTTTTCACTTGTACAATTAAGCTGAGCTACTATTCAGAATACTGCCAAGCATTTGGCATCTTACTGCTCTTTTAAGCTCTTTTCATTTAAATAGTTGATTACAGCTTACACGTCTACACAGGCAACTTATGTAACAGAAGCTACCCTGCAGGAATGTAAATTCAAGGGCCAAGTCTTAGTCACCTTGCTCACATGAGTCATGCCACCAGCTGCAGTGACACTATCCAGATGAAAAAGGGGCAGGATTTTATGTCCTGGGTTTCACTGCCAGTTTATGTTGGTGCCATGACAATGCAGGAACACTGGTTGCACGCTATAAACAGTTACAGGACAGCTCACCCAAATGCATTTGTTCTTCAGATACAGTTCTTTTATGGAAAGCAAGTTTTGTATCAGCATATCACTAGGTAGCACATACGGAATCCAGCATTAGGCAGTAAGAGCTGTGACTGTGAAAGTCACCTTTATGATAGGAAATCAGAGTCTCTATGATTAAAGTTAATATTCCTGCGGTTTTATTTACCATACCCAAATGCTCTCGGCCTCAGAAGAGCTGCAGCACTTTGACTAGAATGGGGGGAGGGACAAGTGGGTAGTGCAAATTTCTTGGAAGGCATTTCCCAGCCTTGACAGAAGGCCACCAAGACTGCATAGTGTTTTGCCCTTACAGGGAGGCCAATTGGGAAGGTAAGGACCACTGAAACCCACCCTCATAAGTCAAGCTGAAGCTTACTCCCATCTACTGAGCCACAACTACTGTGTCTTTACACACACACACATTGTGAAACAGTTCTCTGAAACACTCAGGAGTTACACACTCTAAAGTAATGACATATTTACTAAACAGACATGTATATTCACTCTGCATTTCAGAAAAAATCCTGGAGAAGAATATTCTGTGTTTACTAACCAAGGAGCCAGAAGCTCCTTCATATCCTCCTTTAAATCCAGCCGTTTATCCAATTAAGACTAAAATGAATTTAAAAGATAAATATTCTGACTAACTGGCAAGAAGCAACAACAGCGTTTATCTGAATTATCTGTGTTTTGATCGAGTTTTATATATATAACCACCATTATTTCCTGCCAAGCAGAGTGGAAGGAAGGGCAGGGAAATGCTCCCTGTGGGATTATTTCTTCTAAACAGTCAAGTAAAAATGCAGCTACTCTGCTTGAAGGTAGCACTGATCTTAGACAGCACTATTGTTTTAGAATTTAACAGCCTAGTTTCCAACCTCCATCAGTAAAGCAAAATCCCATTTCTCAATGTGAGAGTCAGCACTTCCACAAAATCCCAAATTTCAAAAGCACCCACAGCCTGCCCCGTCTTGGCCACGCTTAAATCACCACCCACCTTAACATCCTCAAAACAAGTATCTTCCACAACCCAAGACTGAAGTGCTAAGACTGATACAGTTTTAAAAAGTTAACAGAACGCTTAACTCCAAAGGACTGACATTTTTGTTTTGGCAGTATCTTTAGCTCTAACTAGCAGTTAGCACTCCTCAGCTCAGAAACAGCTCAAGCCATCAGGGCTCAGAAACCACACAACACACACAGTGACTCACCATACCACTGGAAATAGGATGGCTCCGCAACATAGCAAGTCTACCAGGAAGAGGATTTCTTTCCACAGTCCGTATTCAGTTGTCCCCTCTTCTGTTGACTCTATGATAATATATGCCACGTTTGCCAATACCTACAGGACAAGACACACTTAATGGTTTCAGCAGCTTTCCAAGGAGATACTAGATGTGGGCTGCCAATTCAGCAAAAGCTGTCCCACAGTCGTAGAAAGAGCCCAGTCTTTATCTAACATCAATAATTCTTCTGGAGCTCTATGTCAAGAAAGTCACACATTCAGCAGCATCTTCACAGGATTTACAGAAATAAAACTGATTGGAACCTATTTGTGCTGATATTCAGAAACCAGTCCTTTTTGTTTTATACTATGCTGAATCTACAGTATCAGTAGAGATAAAAAGAGCAAAACCTATTTACAAAAATACAGAAACAGGACTCCACATGCACACAGCGAGCAGCTTAAATGCATTATTGTAAATTAAGCCAATAATACAAACTGGTCATTGACCACATTTTGTACTCCATATCTGAGCTCTGTAAGAGCCTCAAATACTAGTTATATACTTTTGGTTTTGCAGCCAGGTAAGGGATTCCATCTGGAAAGGCAGAAAAGCTGCTATATATACACAACAAATGGAAGTGCTGCCCTCCTATTTACTTCAGGTCCTGGAGACAAGGACTGATCACTCTGAACACACTGGGAAGGTTTCCCTCAGACCCAATGGACCTACAAATCTCCATGTTCCCCCCCTTTTCTTTTTCTTAAGCCCACTCAGCAAGCATTTTGGAAGTGACAACTCTCATTTAATTTCTCGGCTTAGCAGTTTAGTGCTGTTTTGCAGCCCAAGTTTCGCCCCAGCACGAACATGCCTACCTTAGAGTCAGTTGTTCAATTGCTGACACTATTTGATCACCATTATCTCATACTCAATATAGGGAGAAAAGCAGGGAAAATTACAGAAGCAACTTTTGGCCTAGGAAATTCCAGCTTAACTAAAATTGTAACCAATACGCTTGCACAAACAGTAACGATGCAGTATTTTGTGAAGGATTCACAGCCTTTTACAGTTTCCACAAGCAGCTCTCCCACATGATAGGAAGTATTGACACAGCTCAGTCCTTACCTGAAGTGGTATGACAATCATGAAAATTTTTTTGTCTTTATCTGACAGGATGTGTTTAATGAAAGCCCAACCTGTGCCAATAAGGGCAATAGTGATGAACAGAAGAGCACCCTTCAGTCTGAAAGGGAAACAGATACTGCAGTGAGAGACTTTATCACATTTCCTCTTCTGCCGAGGTTCTCTCCTATAGTCAGTAAAGCCACAAACCCAAACAAATGCCTTGCTATTTATAATTTTGGCAAGTGCTTATCCTACAACAGTGAAGCAGATGTACTTGCTTACAACTGTGTATCACATAGCAATATTACACTTCATTCACAATTGTCAATATATGCAGTCTTTTCCTGGGGGAGTCATCCATTCACCATCATGAACAGGAGAAAACACTGGCAGCTGTACCCTCTTACCATTCACACCAAGAGCAAATGAGATACTTTAATATTAGTATGAACAAAGAAAAGCAAAGCATTTCTTCTCCTTTTACTCCTCCACCCAGATAAGTACCAATTTTCTGCAGCTGCCCTCTAAGTAGAGCTTTCCCCTTCACACAGGGCTGATTGTTGTCTTGTCATTCAGACCATAGTAGCAAAGAATCAGCAATTTTCCAGTTTGCTAAGGAGGGAGGGAGGCAGGCAGCCTCACAGCGAATTCAGTTTCATTGTTTGAATCTATCACATCAATCTTCTGATATACTTACAGGTGAGTGATGTAATAAACAACAGCCCAGCCTTCAATAGGAAATCCCTGAAAAGAAATGTAGTGATAGTCGATCTGGAAGCAGAAAATACAGTATGTTACTTTACAAGCTGCTCATCAGCACCCCACCCATGTCTATAAAATTGGTCTGCTTGACAGCCACTTCAAGTTTCATTTTCCAATCAGTGTGTACAAACTCAGCTCTGTTATATCTTAGAGAATACTTCCTCCCAACCCATTCTGGTTTTGTTTAGCAACAATGAGGTCATTTCCATTTGCTGTATTTCCTAAGTGCTAGTGGCTATATATCATACAATCCATGTTCTTCCCACACTTAACTATAGTTGAACAACTGCATTCGTAATCTATTTATTCATTCATTGTTCAATTTCAGTCGCATTAGGCAACTAGAGTCTTTCTAGTTTCACTTTCACTGGAAGTCAGATTCATTCATTAGACTCCACAAGTGTTTGCAGCAGTTATCCTGTCATGAACATGAAGGTGAAGATCATGGCTGGCACAAACACTGAAGGATTAAATGTTTGCCATTACCTTTTGTTTTGAGATCTTTCCAGTGGAAAGGCAAAGTCAATACAATTCAACAGAGAATTTATGTATTGAAAGTGTTAAAACTTATAGCATTAGGTCTGCTACAGTACACCATGATACTTCATCTAAAGCTGCGCCCTTGAATTTTTACAAACATTCATCAAGGTTTCCATTTATTAACATTTATTGCAAGCCACGTAGCTGAAGCAGCACCATAGCTCAAGCTTTCAGGCCAGTCTCAGATGGCCAAAACACTGGAATTCATGGAACACATTCAACCCTCATACATGCTTGCTGCTTCTCCACTTCAGGCCATGATGTCAATTGTATTTAAAGTCAGATTTTGCTGATGAAAACTGAATCACTTCCACCAAACAGCTGCAGTTCAGTTCCAATGCTTCAGTAGCAAAGACTCTTCTCTCTCCCTCCCAAAGCAGATTTCTCTAACAGCATGCCCTAGATTCCATGTTTCTAGTTCCCAGCTGAACAACTTAAGGCACGGACATTATACATACCGCATGGAAGACTAAGGACAGAGATTTTGTGAAAGGGAGGGCTGCCATTAGCCAGTGAATCTTAAAGACATCATTTCTGGGAAGAAAAAAAGAAGGAAGAGCATCAATTAAAAGCCAGCAGTAAAAGTTTCAGTTCCCAAGGGCATTTCTTTAAAGCCTATAAATGTCAAACAGTAACTTCCAGCTGACTATCAGTGTAAAAGGATTCCCTTTAATGCTGCAGTCCAAGCTTTTGCAACATCCCGAACAAAATTTCAGCTACATGTTCTACAACTTTGATTTTTAATACTTGGGTTAATTAAAAACAGTAATTCATAGAAACATCTTGCATATATAGACCATAACTGTTAGAAAATTTGCTAAACATAATTCAAACACGTATTACTTCACCCTCTGCCCCCAAGTCACTATGCCACATCACCAAGTGAACTCCAGACTACCAAATAATCTGTTCACCAAGTGAACTTCAGACTAAGTCAGAGGTAAAACAAAAATGGAATCATAGGTGCTCCTGGCTTCTGTTGCTATACTTTAACTAAGAAGCATGGTTTTTAATTAGGAATTCCTACCACTTTTGACTATAATCAAAATGTTTTATGGATCTTCACTGCCCTAAGCTGTCGTTCCCCACAGAAAAAAAACTGATCAAGTTTTTCTTAGTTATTTTCAAACAGCGTTCTCCTTCTGTCATCAACTACAGATATTTCCTGTTTATTTGTTGCCACAATATATTAAAATATGTGTACTACATAAAGAATTTAAGGTAAGATTTGATAACTTTAGAACAACAGTCTGCAACAATGATACTGACGGAAGTAGCTGTTTTCAACTATAAACTGTATGTGTTAAGCATACCATATTGAGCCAGACTTGGAATTGTGATTAAATCTCACCGTAAATTGAGCATTATAAGAGGGATAAAAAAAATAAATATCAAACAAGGTAGGTCCACACTTGTCAAAGATACCAAACTAGTCCGCTTACCTGCGTTTACGAAGTATGTGGATCCACACAGTCCCAGATAGGAAGAAGAACATAGCCATGGAAATGTAAAGTTTTGGCAGTGGGATCTCACCCGCTGAAAGGTAGCTTTCAGGATTCTTTTCCGTAATTTCTATCTGAATATTAAAAAGTGTGTTATGTGTACAGTTGAAAAAACATTTTGTTAAAGCACTGAGTTAACAATTACAGTTCACAAATTCACTCATTTAAAATTAGCTTTTCTGAAGCTGTGACTGTTATGACACTGTTAATGAAAAAGTTAAAGCAACTCTTCATCCTCAAGAATCTCAAAACACTTTTTGCAAAATTACACCCACAACAATTTCCTTGAAAAGCAGAAAAAGACAGAGGTTCCTTCCAGTGCTTCCGTTATGCAACATAATTCAGAAACGCAAAGTAGTTTTCCCAAAGAGGAGTTGTTCTCTATACCAAACCTCACAGAGTTTGCCCACCTTTGAAACAGTATCTACAACCTTGAACAAACAAGCAGGGTTTTTTTAGCACAGTCCCAATTTTAGGTGTGGAGAGAGCGACACATAGCTGAAAAACTCACTCTTAGGTTTACTACAGTGGATTTCTTCACCTGTCAAGAGAAAGGAAGCACTCTGCTGCAAGCTTATTACCCTGTGACTGAGAAAACAGCAGCTTTATTTAATATCCTGTTTATGCCCCTAAACAGCTTGGTTCTATGTGCTAGAATTTCACTAAAACAATGTATCAAGGCTAGTTTGCAGTACTGAAACTGTCCTGCATCTCTAAACACAACCAAGCAGGTTAGTTATCCAGGTGTTCTTCTCTTTCCAATTTCTTCAGTGAGTCAAAGCAATAAATAGCAATTCAAAACCCTGGTCTTCTAAACATACAACTTCAGAAGCAGATTTAAAGTAAAGTAATCTAGTTTGAGTTAAGTGAGGGCTGCTAAGTTTTATCACCTATGTGTTCTCTGGCTTTTCCCTTGCAGTACAGTCAGCACAACCATGTAAAAAGCAGCTCAGGGGTCTGAGCTGCCCAAGAGCCACCTTGGTCAATGAGAGGATTCATTACAGAATAGCTCACTGTACACCAGGGTGGATGCCAGCACAAGCACAGGAAAGAGAAAAAAGGGAAAGCCTGAGCTGTGATAATGCACTCTGGCTCTAAAGAACATAGGACTGAACCCTTAACAGAGATAGATGTAATATGTTATAGCAAATGTCTCAAGATGTGCATCTAACACTGTAAAAATGCATCTTTCATTAGGCCAGAAAAAGCAAACACACTGAATTCACAAATACCAACAATTTAAGTTGCAGCAACAACCTTAATACCTGCAATTGTGTAAAAAAAGTGATTTTCCGAGCAAAGCAAAACATGAACAGCCATTTTAGCTCCCATGTCATTACAGCATCTAGTCACAACTGTGTAGACTGAACCCAGCCCACACACAGTCTTCAGATTTCTAGACATTTCTCCAAAACTCATATTTTAATTCTTCTTACTGTAGTTGCTTCCTTCAGAAATGCCACTACAGAGATGCACAACTCTGAATCACTTCCCACCCCAACTATACACTCTTGTAGAGCATGTGCTTCGTATACAAGATAGAATTGAAAGCTGTATATTTGAGTTTAAGTGAATGAATGAATTACATTTTAGAAGCTATACTCACATCAAGACTAAATAGCTGCTGATCATTAGCCGGCCCATCACTGCCAACACATTTATGGAAATATAGGCTGTAGAGACCTTCTTGGTTATGAGAGCTGATGTTAAAAAAGAACTGAAAATAAGGAATAGGAAAGTCAGCACTCTTCTCATTCACAACAGGGTTGCCCTGGTAAGAAGCCATCTCTACTGAAGCACGAAAAAAAGTCAGTCATTTAAGGTCAATTAGTTCCCTTCAGCAAGCATACTGTTCTGAGGATACCAACGTATTTGCAAGTTTCAACAGAATTCCAGGTGCAAAAATCATTGCACCTATCCATAGTTATGCACTCTGGTAATCCAAAACCTTTATCGAAGGCCTTTAGGTAGCAGTGTTTAACTTAGCTCATCAGAGAGAAAAAGATAACAGGAATTGTCATATATTTAACATGGTGAGGCATAAAATTTTGATCATACTTGCCCTAAAGCATAAACAGCTATTCTGTTCCTCCCCCAACTATACAAGTTGTGATAGCTATGGAAATGAGATTTGTGTCACATAACAGAATTTAAAATGTTTTGGGTTTATAGTTAACCAACAATCACAAGTGAACCAGTGTGCTGAAACAAAGTGTTAATCTGGTTTCATACAGAGTGTCTTCCCCTTAAGCGTGACCCCATCAGTCAGGTCACAGCTATTTGTTGTCAGAAATCTGTGTGCACCAGTTGCATCACAGCAAACTTTGATATGCCAAGGCTCATGGACTAACATACTCAGAAGAACTGCATAATACCAAGGACAGTTTAAAACAGCTCCCACGCCTTACGAAAAAAGATTTCCAGCACTTATTCTTAACAAGAGTCTACTCAAAATTTTACTGAGCTATCAGAGTCATCTATACTAAAGAAATGGGGATTACAATAGGAAGCAACAGACTTTTCACAAAGTAGTACAGTGAAGGAAGAAATTGCCTGCACACATTAAGACTAGACACCGACAGACACCCTACCTGAAATGAAAAAGTTCCTTTGTCATTGTGAACATGGTGTTCTTGTTCTACTATGCTCTAGGAAAAGGAAAAGAGACTTTTAGATTTTTTAAGGAAGTAACTACCACATTTGGCTATATCATCCCGACAATCAAAACTGCATTCTGCATATTTACAGTGGAAGCTGAGAGCAATAGAAAATAATACTCTCCACTTTCTGGCTATGCTGGAATATTCCCCCAGGTTCTTTCTGAAAGAAAACAACATAGTTTCTTACCTGGGAGGTTGTTGTACTTCGTTTGGACTTCTTATCTAGAGGTAAAAGTATTAATGGTACATTTAGAGTGTTTGCATTTAGACATCCTCATAGACTACCACCTTTTACACATTGCCAATACCTTACTCAAATCTTCCTATACTTGGCAGTGCAGCAGTTTC